TGGGCAACATAAGAAATGTTGGAGGCCATATTTCTGCATCATGGCACGCGTCTAACACCACTGCCTTGAAAAGCGAGAGCCAATAGAAAATGTAGAGAAGAAGACGTTTCAATTGATTACATGCCCCAGCAACAAAAAAAAACTAAAAATACTCAGAAAAGGGCTTCCTAGGCGTCACTCGCCTCCGCCTCGTTGTCTAAGTCGTTTTCAGCTTCTTCGCGGTCGCTGTGAACGGTGCTCTCGACATCCGCGCTGCGCCGACGTCGCTTCTTGCCAGGGTGACGTGAAGGCGGTCGGTTGCGGACTTTGTGGTCCATCAGCAGGCGCTGGGGAATGTCGTTCCCGTTGTTCCAGTCCGTATGCCATACGTGGAAACACGTCTTAGCTCGTCCTTCACGAGCTACGTTACACATATACTTGCGGCGATTTCCTGTGGAGCACCCGGGACAGAAGTATTTCGTGTACTTCCGCGGCTTGACCTTGAATAGCGCGCATACTTTGCAGGATCGGTGGCGTCGCTTCAGTCCGTGTTCTCCGTCTACGGTGTCCGGATTCTCCTCCAGTGTATGCCCATGAGCGATAACATCGTCTGGATTTGTTTGTCTGCTCGAATCTGATCTGGCTGGAGACGCAGCAGTCCAGGCTTGGGCTCGAGCTGATTGCGCGATAGTATCGAAGGTCTCAATAGAATCCACGGCCAGAAGCTGGTCCATCAAGGTCTCGAAGAACTGAAAGTGTTTCGATGCGCTCAGGTTGTTCATCTGCCGGTAGTGGCGAAACACGATGAAAGCGTTTACGAGCGCCATGTCGAACAACCCGAAGAACAGGGTTTTATAGTACTTTCTCGTCTTGTAACTGAGTTGGACGCTGTAGCGCTGCATCCGGAGCTGGTCGTGCACATCGACGCCACCCATCCAGCGGTGGTAGTCCCGTACCAACTACGGAGCAGGTACTGGGGTCATCTCTCCGTGCACACGACGCATTACAGTCCCAGTGACTCGGCTGCCTCCGCTGGAGAGCATGTGGACCGGGTTACGATCCATCCACATGAGCGCCGTGATTGCTGGGAACATTTTGTTCTCTGCTATCTTCACCGTGCCCTGCGGAGGAACTACCTCTTTTCGACCATTCACTTGCTTAAACTTCTTCGACGTAATCACTCCATCCGCATACCCAGTGCGATCTGTTTGTATGGTGCCAGTCAGGTACATTCGTCGATGGAGGAGTTCTAGCGCCAGGCCCACCGAGGTGTAGAATCTATCCGTGACCACTAAGCGCCAGGGGCTTGTAGAACTAGGCGGGCACAAAGCATTCATGTTCCGGATCACAGCGGCTTCTCCACTGTTGTTGTCCTCAGGTACTGGTGTCCGGAGATGCGTCTTGGCTCCACAATACACTTCGAGTCTGGATACAAACGTTAAACACATCTAAAGTTACCCGTATGTTGGATGACATTGTAGAGAGCAGTGCTTATGTTGATCCAAGCCAACATACGCACTTGGACCAAAAAAAAGAAGCGCAACCAGCAATGGCTAGTTGCGCTTCATACCAGACTCACCTCAGGCAGTACGCTGTCTTGGCACACGCCGCGACGAATACCTTGGTTCCTCATTTATGAGGCTTATCTTTGTTGAACTGGCGGGTTGGATTGTATCGCGATCGGGACGGGAGGGTGGCTTCATCGAAGCTGATGACAGGAGGGGTGCGGTAACCTCGAGCAAAAGTCCCCTGTAGCACGTCGACTACCGGTCGTATCTTCCATGCGCGGTCGAGCTTCGCCTGAGGCGACTTGTTGTTGCTGAAGTGCAGGTAGCCTATTATATGGAAGAATCTGTTCTTCGACACGAACTGACCGAACCTGTTGGACGGAAGTGCACCCACCTTCTTTAGCCCCCAGTGTGCGGCGATTCCTTTCCTGATCGGAGTCAACATCCGCGCGATCAGCAACGCCATGACGCGAAGAATTTCCCACGGTTCAATCTTAGGGACGCTTGACAACCGTCGCCGGATGGCACTCAACCCTTCAACCTCCCCTCCACTGGTGCGCTGCTGGTCTCGGATCCCTCGGGTCCGATGCACAAGTGTCTGCGACTGATAATTGTTCGATTCCAACGTGATGTTCAACCACAGTCTCGGTGGCAAAAAGTAGAGCAACAGTGCAAGGGAATCTTCTGCAACAGCCATCACACTCTCGCTTGGTCCAAACGGTCCGTCGTAGAGGTCAGCATACGTAGGGTCGGGGCCAAATTTGTCAGGATCTGCAAGAGCAAGAGTGATGAATGATAGTTAGTATAGGTTGGAGCTTATGTTGGATCAAGTTGAAACTCGATCTCATTATGTTGGACTGTATCAACGTGAACGCACCATATTCCCACCCAGTCTTTCGCATGTTCTTGAGAACCTTCTTGTTGCGAGCAGCCGACAAACAAAGCGAGTCTGGAAGCATCGTCGCGTTGGGGTCACCGACCTCGTCTTCATCCGTGAGCTCGCCGAGGCTCCAGTCTTCACTCCACCCGCTATCATCGTCTTCTTCTTCTGGCTCCTCATCGCATCCCGTCTCCTCGTCAGAGTTCAACCTAGTGCATTGCTCAGCACCAATCTCCATTAGGTTCGGGTCTCCACTCACCATACACCTCGGGCTTCCAAATGGACGTTCCACTTCTTCCTCCCCATCACCCGTGGACATACCCGGAGGGGCCCCTGTGGTGCCCACTGCGTCCTCGTCATCACCACTAACCAGGTTGTCGTCTTGTAAAACAGGACGTCGACGTTTCTTCGATTGACTTGACTTCCGAGGCTTGGGGGGTCGACGGCTCCTGCCAAGAGATGGCGGCCTCGGCGTAATCTGCTCTTTTGTTGACCGCCGTGAAGAAATACGCGCAGGGGTGTCCGCATCGTTGTCCACGCGAGCCGCGACATCGCTCTCCAAATTGGACATCAAGTCGGCCATTATCTCGACCACGGCTGGTTCTAGTGGCACCTGAGCCTCGGTAGGTGCTGCGGATGACGACGGTATCGCCATCGCCTCAGCAGCGACATCCGTCGCGTCAACCTCAACGTCCTCTGCGTCCTTGGCTTCGGCGTCCTGGCGAGGCTTTCCAGGGTTTGATGGCTTGTACACTCCCGTCGCCTTTCGGACTTCCATGGCTGGTGTCGTTAGTTTAGCGCGGTCTTTAGCAGCTCCTTTCTTCTGCGGCTTTGCGGTAGCGGGTTGCTTAGCCTCCGCAACGGAAGAAACACAATCAGCATTCGCAAAAGCACTTTCAGCGGGTTCCGCGCTCTCCTGAGCGCCAGCTGTGTCTCCACCACTACCGCCAGCACGATCACGGTCATCACGAGCACCTACAATCACAACAGAGTCAGCACTACCGCTTTCATCAAAGTATAGGCACGCATGAGCAGTACCGTCACGATGACGTGGTGCCACCACGTCGCGCTCTGCAAGCGCCACAAATTGGCCCAGCGCTGCGCTGTCTCAAAGAAGATGGCGGCGGTGTCGATCGCTGAGCTTGGTCAGCAGCTGCGCGTGTCGCTCCTTTGTCTCTCCTGCAGTGTGTCCTGGCTCCGTGGTCCGTGGTGTCCGCCCGGGTGGCCCTTTACCTGCCGTAGCGACCATCGCTTTTGGTCTTACGTGCAAGCTGCGAAATTGAAGAATGAGGTGAGATTTGGGCTGGCGGCCACCAGTTCAAACGGGAATGGCGTGCTTTGACTTTGTCACACTATCCTGATCCAAAACCCCGAGCGCTCGTCTTGAACCAATAATACGACAATGACTTCAGTATGCCGATCTCAATAGATCTGTTCCAATACAAAAATCAAGTATGACTTTTGCTTATGTTGGACCTCCAACATAACATAGATGCCCAAAAAAAAGATACACCCGTCATGTTGAGCGGTCCAACATGCGGGAACTAAGGGGTTAAACCGATTCGCTCTCTCTAGCGGGTCAGAATGTTGGCTTGCACGGGAGGGGAAAATCAGGGCAGCACAATCTTTTAGGGGCTTACCGGTATGTCATAAGTTATGCGTCTCCGTACTACATGTACAGTAGTGAGTCACTGCAACAAGCCCCCAACAAGGATCAAGCCACCGTGTCTGGCACCATGATGTCCATTGTGAAGCCATTCAAAGGAGTGGAAGCTGTGAGAGCCTCCACATTTATGCTCGTCCTCGATCTCCTCCGGAAGCCACCTTATGGACGTGCAGGCTAGCGTGGTGGCTGTTCGCGGTTGCATTTGCTTCTGCAGCAGTGATCGCAGTAGCACCAAGTTGCAGGCATTGCTCAAGATCGCACTAGCTCCTGCCACTGATGATGTGATCCCTGCCACTGATTATGTGTTGGCGGTGCGACTCGTACACCTTCTGGCAGTGTCGACCCAAGCTTAGGACGGTCATTTTCCCAAGTGCCATCCAGAGTGTACGCAAGCATTTCCGCAAGTTTCTGACCGTTGATGTCATTGCTGCCGCTTCCAAGTCTTTGCCGTTGCCACCACCTATGCTACCACGCCCAGGCTGTTGGCTGTTGGTGTTGTCGGTATCAACGGTATCTCAAGTGTAACGAGATGCTGCTCACGGGCGAATCCGAGGATGTCCCCAAGAAATACAACGCTGCGATCCACCCCGCTGGAGCCGGCAAACCGGCCAAGTTGACAGCGAGTAACATGGTCTTCTCGTCTACGACGATCACGGCCGGCAACGCTCGCGGTATTGTAGTGGAGACTGGTATGAACACGCGTGTGGGATCCATTGCAGCTCTACACAAGCCAAGAGCGGCAAGGATGCGTCTGCAGAGGAGAAGTGGATACGTAACCCGCTTGGTGACTGCATGGCCAAGCACTGAAGCTCATGCCTCTACAGCGAGATCTACACCACACTAGGTACGTAATGGGTCTCATCGCGGTGGGTGTGGCTATCCTACCAAAGGAGCCTCGGAAGAGTTGCCAAAAGGAAGTCAACGTGGAGTCTCGCCGTCGTCGCCTTCCACTTGCTTGAGTTGCGTGTTACTGCACAGCACCGAAGCCATCGAAGTCGTGCGAGCTTGCACATTGCCGGCCTCCGGTTCGCTTTGACTGCTACCGTCCGAAGCGAGGACAGAGCGTTCACCCCCTTGCCAGTGAGTGAAAACTTGCGGAAATCGTCCCAGAGCTTTACTGCAGTCATCTTGCCTCCCGTCAATGTGCCCGTCTTGTCGGTACAGATTACTGACGCTGCGCCTAGCGTCTCCACTGACGCGAGTTTACGTACAAGTACATTCTTCTTGACCATCTCGGCCGTACCGGACGACAGACAGATAGTCACGACCATCGGTAAACCCTCGGGAACAACACTCACGGCCACAGATACAGCAGTCATAATCAAAGTCAAGTGCGTGGGTCTGTCCGGGTGACGAGGGTCTTCATTGCCGCGGATCATACCGACGATAAACACGCGTTGCGGCCGCTAAGGCAGGAAGATAGTCTGCTGGAAGACTACCCCAAGACAACTACTGTAGTAGTGACTCACGAGTAGTGACTCACTACAGTGTTTGCCTATTAATGGCCTCCTAGAACTTGTACACTTGAAAGCTTCCATTGTCCGTCTCAGCAGCTGAGTTCGTCATCGCCTTCGAATTTAGGGTAAACCATTACGCACACCTGGCATCTCAGTGGAAGTGAGTTTGTCTGGCAACTTCAGGTGTTTGTATGCCCCGTTTAATTTTGCGTCCTTTAAAACTTTGATCATAAAATTTTATGCTAAAAAAGTAGACCTGTGTGAAAGCCCACAATCTACCAGAATTGCTTCAGTATTGAAATTGGCATGATGACAGCGCCCATATCTTCGTAGTTGTTTTGTGTCTGTAAAAGGACAAAGACCTGATAATTGTTTTTGACGTTTCATCCCATAGTTTTAGTCATAAATTCCCAATTGCATCCAAGTTTCATCACGGAAACGGCTCCAGCTCTGAAATGGCAGCAACATGTTTTATTAGTTCATTCTTACTTACATTTAAACATACAAATTGCTTTCTAAAGCTGCGCCAACTTGATATTATAATGACGCGTCATCACATACTGTTATCAAACGTCTCTATGTTGTTAATAGGACAGCGCCATGGCTGCTGGAAAAGTGAGCTCACAAAGTCCTTGCCCTCTTAGACTTGATGGGAGATTGAAAATTGTTTTAATTTGAAGTAGTAATTTCTTATTGATTACATGTAGTTTTGAAAATTTTAAACCGGTAATGGCAAAATAATGGATTGTATTTTCCAGCGACATTTGCACAATTAAAAAAAGCTCTTGGGTCCGTGAAAACGGGCCCAAGAACTTTTTTGTGAAAACGGGTAAGGTAGCTCGAGAAGTACTTTGACAGCACGACGCATCTGTACGATTCAGACTCTGACTATCTCCATGTGATCCCCACTCGACTGTTAGTCCAGCTCAACTAGCACATGACCATCCGTCACAAAATCATCTTTTTCGCAGAACAACTCTTGCACTTTGCCATCTTTGGGGGCACGGATCACGTGCTCCATCTTCATGGCTTCCATGATCAGCAGCGGCTGATCGGTCTTGATCGAGTCGCCATTCTTCACCAGTACCTTAATAATCTTGCCCGGCATCGGTGCAACGATCTTGCTGTGTGCAGTGGCACTGGCGCTGCCCTTTGCCGGCTCGAAAGAGGGCAACGGGACGTGGAACTTGTAGTCGTAGCGCTGGCTATTGTCGTCGCAGAAGAGATGAAGCTCCTGCTGGTGAATCACAGCAGTCCCCTTGAACGTGCGGTTGCCTACCCGAAACTTAAACTCTCCGCTCTCATCAATGGCTCCACTGACTTCGTGGGTCTCCTGACCAGCGACGCCGTCGAGAACCACTTCGTACGTGTCGTTCGACAGACATTTAACTGACACCGAAGCCTCGTCATCGTCCTGGCTCAGCGAAAGCTTCCTCTCGAGAGTTTCCAGTGAGCGGAAATGAGCCAAGGCGCCGTCCGACCAAGGCGACTGCAATTCACCATTATAATTTCCAGTTGGGCGCCGCTCAACCTGTTCAAGAAGAAGCAAACTCACAGCCCCCAGTGCCTTAGCGTAAGTCGGATACACTCCCAACGACCCAAGCACGTCGTCGCCAAACTTGTTGAGAAAACTGGTATCGACGCCTCCTTTCCTGAACGCCGCGTGGTCCGCTGTGCGAGCTACGAACTCGATATTTGTAGGAAGACCCACAATCTGGTACTCGTGCAGCGCTTTGATCATTTTATCCAGCGCGGCTTGACGGTTGTCGCCGTGTACAATGAGCTTGGCAATCATGGGGTCGTAAAAAATGGATACTTCATCGCCTTGAATGATTCCAGTGTCCACTCGAACGTCTTTAGATGTGCGAGGCAAGCGGAGATGTTGCAACTTGCCGCTTCCAGGTAGAAAATCACTACAAAACCGATTAAAAGAACATCACACAACAAGGCTACACAGCTCTAAAAACGTACTTGTACGGGTTTTCCGCGTAGATACGCGCTTCCACAGCATGGCCGTGGATTTTCAGATCTTCCTGGCGGATCGGGAGTTTTTGCCCTGCAGCAACCTTCAGCTGCAGCTCAACCAGATCTTGCTTGGTGATCATCTCCGTGACTGGGTGTTCCACTTGGAGACGCGTGTTCATCTCCATAAAGTAGAAGGACTCGTCCTCATCCAGCAGAAATTCCACCGTTCCAGCGCCAACGTAGCCCACAGCCTTCGCAGCGGCGACTGCGGCGTCTCCCATCTTCTTGCGTAAAGCCTCCGACATGTTCGGTGCTGGCGCTTCCTCCAGGACTTTTTGATGACGTCGTTGGACGCTGCAGTCTCGTTCGAACAGATGAATGACGTTGCCGTGTTTGTCTCCGAAGATCTGGAGCTCGACGTGTCTGGGTTTCCTCAAATACTTCTCGATGAGCACTCGTCCGTCACCGAAAGACGCTTGTCCTTCTCTCACACAAGCGTCCAGGGCGTCTTGGAAGTCCTTCTCCTCATCAACGATTCTCATGCCTTTGCCTCCACCTCCCAGCACTGCCTTAATGAGCACGGGATATCCAATCTTCTCGGCTTCTTTCTGCAGCGTCTCGAAGCTCTGGTCTGCTCCGTGATACCCAGGGGTCACTGGGACGCCGGCCTTGATCATAATGTCCTTAGATGCGCTCTTAGACCCCATATCTTCGATAGCCTTAACAGGTGGGCCGATAAACTCGACACCTGCCTCCTGACAGGCTCGAGCGAACGCTGCGTTTTCTGACAAGAAGCCGTAGCCCGGATGCACCGCCTCAGCCCCAGATTGGCGACAGATCTCCAGGATTTTGGGGTAATTTAAGTAACTCTTGCTGGCAGGTGCGGGTCCCAAGCGGTAGGCCTCTGTGGCTAGCTTAACATGCTGCGAGTTGGCGTCGGCATCGCTGTAAACTGCCACAGTCTCGATGTTTAGCTTCTGCGCCGACCGCATCACACGGAGTGCGATTTCGCCGCGGTTGGCCACAAGGATCTTGCGGAAGCTGCGTGGGGTCGAGGACAGCGCGCGTCGGGACGCGGAGTCGAGCAGAGAGGGATGGAGGTGGCGGAGACGCAGCATGGCAGGCACTTGATCGTGGGGCAGAGACCTACGGAATGACTTACTTATAGAGCCCGGCAGTAGCTTTGATTTTCGGCGTTGCTTCGGATTGGTCTAAACGATTTGTTTGGATGCAGGGATGAACATTGATAAATATTGGACGATGCTACAGTCCAAGTATCAGGTATAGAAATAATCCAAGTATTGAACCAAGTATTGTCCATAAATTACCGATCTGGTAAATTAAAATTCATATTAAGATGAAGTGATTCGGATCGATGCTGAAGCGAATGTCTTTGCCTCGATAGTGAGAAATAACGACTAATCCATGTTCGATCCATGTACCGTTCCATGTATTGTACAGGTAAACATAGTGCACACAAGTACGGGTAGACATAGTGCACACAGGTACGGGTAGACATAGTGCACACAGGTACGGGTAGACATAGATCAAATTGATAGAGTAAAAACGAATTCGATTGAGTGAGTTAGTTTGAAATGCTACCCTTTAGCAGGAATTGTAGGATACGGAACCGCAGTAGCGTGAGACAAGTCTGGGTCAAGTCCAACAAGATACTTTTGTCGACGTTAAACGCCCAAAACCTGAGCCATGACGTAGAAAGCCACAAGTTATGACCCGTCTAGTTTTGAATTTGGCGAGTTGATATGCCAGTACCCTCGGTAGGCATCGCTCAAGCGTTTTCGCCCAAATCCCACGACATTCGGTCCAAGTACGCTGTTGTAAGACTTTTGGTTCATGGGGTCGTAGTACATTACTTGGTTTCCCTTGACGTCCACAATGATACCACACCAGTGTGTGTTCCCGAAGTTGACTGGGATGAACAGAGTCTCGGCACAACTCTTCAGCATTTGTGCCTTTGCCTTGATCGTTTCTGTAAATGTCTTCATTTTCCTTCCCGTCACAGCATTCTCGATCCCAACTACATAAGCCGTTGAATTAGTTGCACAAAGTCTGGCGCAGAATGCGAGAATCAGGGCGTCATTTGCCCAGGAAGGGGGCTTCATACGGAATAGCATAGCGTAGTGATATTCATGACCTTCAATTTGGATAATGTCTTGGGGATTTGAGCGCGCAACTTGATCTGTCATCTCCTGTAGCGTTGGATGTAGTGCACTTCCTACAACACTGACGACATCCTCCATCAGCCACTTGCAGAATGCGAGCCCTTGCTCGCATTGATTCTTCATGGTAGTCAGGTAAAGCATCGCTTCTATCTGTGCTCGTGAGAAGATACCAATTCCAGTGATTTCCACACATTCAATATCTGGGGTTTGTCCACGATTATCCATGTTTTGTCTAGGATTATCCATGTTTTGTCCAGGATTATCCATGCTTTGTCCAGATGTGTGTTCTCCAAGTTCCTTATCTTGTGTTGACTGGCTGTCTTGTGTAGACTGACTCTGAGAGAAGACCGAAATCGCAGTATCAGGCGTATTCTTCACAGGCAACGCGGAGACGCACTTCTGCAGCAATTTCATCGGGAGGAGGTAAAACGCGGTTTCATTGAGTATCGGTACGCTGAGACCACAAAAGGTCGAGGGGTCACGGACTGGTCCACCGGATGCAGCCACCTGCTCATATATATTACAACACAGGTTTTGTTAGTGTATCCCGGTCGAATCATGAATGATACATGGACGAATCATGTATCATTCATACATACATCATGGTTGAATCTTAGATTAATCACAGATAAATCGAGAAAACAACTCACCTTTCATCGATCCTATTAAGCGGGATGATGGATCCACCTATTTCACTCCACTTTCGGTACGAGATGGCGTGCTGGCACGGCAGTCTCATGGCACATGCAAACGAACAGGTGCAGTTCCACGTATCTAGTTGAACGAAATGTACCTTGTGTTTCCCGGTGACCGCCACAAAACCCGGTTTCGATTTCGTGTCGAACTTGAAAATATCCACCTTCGAGATAGCCATAACATACTCCTTTTCCACGTGTTCCGCGACGAAGTGGGACGTAAACTTTAGAACTTGGCTCATCTCCTCATCGTAATTTCGGTTTACAAGAACACCGATACGGGTCTTGTCAAACACGTACTCACTGCGAGTCCTGTCATCAGCTGCCTTCAGCGCCTTCACCGTATCGGTCATGGTCATATTGTGATGTACAGCATCCTTGAAGTGACCAAACCAGGTTTCCAAATGATTGTTGGTATGCACGCGTAAGTGCGCCAACCGAGCGCGCTTATACATAACCCACATGTCCGTGCACTTGTTCCAGTTCTCGTCCATGTATTCGTAAAACGAGGTGAACCCAGTTCTGGTACAGTGGGTCTTCATCGATCTCCAATTGTTCTGGTAGACTTCCTCACTTACTGCATACACCATATTATGCACTAACGTGTCTATGGCATCATGGTCGTCGGACGATATCTTGCCATATTCGGGCTTCCGCGAAGCAGTGCGAAGATATTTGATAACGTGAAAGAAGCATATGAGAACTCGGGCGTTAGGAAAGTAGGTGCGAAGAACTCGGATCTCATTCAGGTCTTTGTCAACCATGAGAACCTGGACATTGTCAGTAATAGCAGGATCCACTCGGAGTAAATGATCCAAAGCACGCGACATATGCCAGTCAGCATTTCGTTCTAGTAGTGATTGCTGTACAGGCTGCCCTCGACCCTTGTCATCGATTGCCATCAAAGTACACAGCTGGTAATTGTACCTAAAGAACAGAACTTGTTAATCAAGGAGTACACATGTAGATTTATTTGGTCCAATACTTGGACCAAATAATAATAAAACAAGTATAATACATGGACAATACACGTACCGATTGGTCCTGTAGGTGCAATCTACCAGCAAAAGCTCCGGAAAGCGCGTGATCATCTCCCGCTGGTGCCGAGACGTCATGCTCATATCTCCGGAGTGACCCGCGTCAGTCTCATCCACCGTAACAACGTTACCATCTTGTGCGGCAAATACAGCGAGAGCCTGCGCTACAGCATCGTCATCGTCAATCCCACCACGACCCTCGCTCTTAAAACGCTGGACCAAGTTGTCCACGTCTTTCTTAACCAAGTGCTCTCCTCTCGCGAGAAGATACTCGTAGATGCGGGCGCGTTTGCGTCCATGATTAACCATAGTAATGACAGCGTCCTTTGTGTCCGCACAACCAACCTTTCGATTCTCTGCGTACGTCAAGAAATGCTCGGTGGCTACTGCGTGGTTGTGCTGATAAAGGCCATTCTGTACTCGAAGCACCCACACACACCCCTCCTCCACCATTTGGACCACGAAACGAAACTTGCACCCTGTCGCGCGGACGAAGTGCTTGGGGCGCTTACCGGTTGTTCGGATCTTCGCAGGCCAGCCATGAGTGCAGATGTATGTACGCATGTACATGATCCAGTCCTCAGGCACGTATGGAACGTCTAAACCTTTCTTGGCGGCCACAGTATTCGCCAGACGCTTGTTCCTTAAATCGCAACTTAGTGTTCCGAAGACCCGGATGATCTGACGCGTCTGCAAGGCATAATCCTTCAGGTACGCTGTCCACGCAGCCAAACTTGGATATGGAGAGTCAACCGGACCAGGCACAACCACGGGTGTCTTTAGTTCCTGGACAATACTTGGATGATTCTCATTGTCCATGTTTTCCGAAGCCTCGCAAGAAGACCCCATGCCAGATACTACGTGGCGGCAAGCCGTCGAGGGCACGCCTGACGACTCACCAGAGGACTAACGATACGCAATACACGCAAGTATAACACAGTGTTAATCCCGTAAAATAAGTGGAGTTGCATGTACACGCACCTTAGACGCAGACGCAGATGAAGCGGGTGGTTCGGACTGCATGGGCAGCGATGGCAGCGTTTGCAGGGGGGGGCGCTGATACGTCAGGAGGTGTTCGAGACGAGCAGGGGTGAAGATGGAGCGAGTGACAGGAGCTACGGGAGCGCCACAGACTAGAAACCTAAAAAAACTAAAATGAAAGGCAGGCGTGGAGCGATACAATACGTGACGGTATTTTATAAAATACGAGGCTGTAAATTACAACATGGACAATACTTGGTTTAATACTTGGTTTATTTCTACACCTGAAACTGGGACTGTAGCATTTACGTTTATTATTTGGCTGCTTTTTAAAATGAGCACTCATACGCTTCGAAAACTGTTATGAAAGGGTAAACGAAATCGCTGGATTATCACGGGGCTTTGGATAAAATCCAGAGAGCGGGTGCAAAATTTTCCCCCTTCTGTGACACCACCTTCTTTTCCCGCTCAAGTACGGGAGCATCATTTTATCCCCTTTTCTCTCATTCCAGAATCAGCCGGCTCGGAAATATGGTGCGATTGTTGGTGTGGCGGGAACTTCACAGTTTCAACCAATACAAATATCAAGTAAATTCATTTATATTACACCGCTTGCCTTTTAACGAGTTATGAAATTGTTGAGGTATAACTATCAAAGAACGTATTTGCTTGGCTAGGGAATAAGTTTCTGGGATTTGTTCATTGAATGCTTGCTATAGTGTAAATATTAATGTTACGCTCTTAACTTAGAGTGACGCGTCGGTTTATCTCCGACGATATATGCTATATCGAAGTCACAGTAATGCTGTAAGAAAGACTTAAGAGTACTGACCAATGGTCAGTACGTATTAATAAGATTTATATCATAAACCTAACGCTTAACATAAAATGAGAGGATGTCTCTTCAATTCCGTTTAAATACGAACGGAAATTCT